AAAAAAAGAAAAGGAAAAAAAAAAAAGAAAATTACTCTGGGCACAAGTGTATCCATGCCCAAAATACCAGGAGGAGAATAGAGAAGGGATTGTGGCATTGCCATCCCCTCCAGGGGTTGATTTCTCATTTTTCCTCTTTCTGGCAAGTGCGTACAGCCAATGGCAAAACCTTACCCCCTCCCCTCCCCAAAAAAAAGGGTAGGGTAGAGCAGTAAAGTAAAATAATCTATGCCATTACCAGCCAGAAATGAAAGTTATGTTTACTGTCTTATCCACATACATGTCATTCTTAATAAATTCGTATCATAGTATATATTTATATAGATCATTTTTATTTTGATTTTTAAATTCGCCAGAAAGAGGAAAAGCAAAAAGGCACTGCTCCTCACCCCCACCCCCTTCCCTCCTCACCATCCGTTCTCCTCTCCTTCCCTATTCTGTTAGGATTTGGGACATGTACACAAGTCCTGTTTGTGTCTACTATGTTTTTTGTGTCCATTATGGTTTTTGTTTGTTTTGTTTTTGCCGTAGAGCATGTGCACTCACCAGAGACAGAGAAAGTAAGAAATGGCCACACAGCAATCCCTTCTTCTCTATTCTCCTCTCAGGATTTTGAGCATGCACACATACACACCTGGTGTGATTTTCGAGTCTGGAACTCCTAACTGTGGCCAGCCTTGTGGGAGTACTGCACGTCAACCACCGCTTGACTATGTGGGTTCTAGCTGCCTTCACCACCAGGCTTATAATGGAGCTGGTCCCAGACTGGTTTTTGTTACTAGTATATTATAGGCTGTGGCATAGTTTTCATGGCCTAAATTATCTTCAAAACTTTAGTTTTAAATGATTTTATATTATACCATTTCATAGCTCATAACTCATTCATTCCCTTTCTGAAGTACAATTTGTTTCCACTCTTTTACTGTCTAGAACAGTACTACAGTAAATATGTGGACATTCATTTTTTTCCCTATACTTTATTTTGTTAGATATGTCTTTTTATTTCCATGAAAATGAGAGACAGGGGAGGACTGCGGCATGAACCTTTTCCTGAGTTCTGCCAGCTAGCCAGGATCACAGAAACATGTGCCTGGTACGTACAGGTCAGCCTGGCACTGAACGCCTTACCTTGCACGTGGGTACGACATTGCTGAGGGCTGTGCTGCCGTGGCCGGCCCTCGGATGTATTCTTAAAAGTAGAAGTACTGGGGTTGGATGTTTTGATCTGAATTACCAAGTTTCCTCCCAAAAAGTTCGCCCTTTCTTCCATACCTCATCGTCATACCTCATGGGCATTTTCAATCTTGACATTGACATTTTTATATTTAAACTATATTTTTGATAAGTGATGTCTGGCATGAGATAAAGAACTTCATTAAGATACTTTTCCAGATGGCCAGCCAGTCCAAGTGCCACTTAGCGAATCAGCCAGTGGTCTGCATTATGTGTTCTTGTCAGTTTATCACACTCTCATATTTAGGTCTTATCTGCATGCTCTGTTTTCTACCACTGTACTTGAATTGCAGTTTTATCTGAGTATTTGCTAACGCAGATAGCCCTGCTCTCTTATTTCTTGGTTAGCCTCCTGCATTCCCCCTCCCCACATTAACATTAGAGCCACATTTTAACTAAAACAATCAGTGTTATTTCCATTGGAATTTAATTAAACCTATTTAAGGAGGCTTGCCATCTTTATAATTTTATAAAATTAAATGGTGTAGGGGATGGGGGGCCAGCAGGTGGCACAGTGGTTAAGGTGCTAAGCTCCCACCTACGAGTCCTGGACCTGGTGATTCGTTTTCTCTCTATCTCGCTGTCTTCCTCTGGTGAGCACACATGCCCCCTAGCAAATGATAAAATAATAATAGTAGTAAGGGTCAGCAGGTGGCATGCTGGTTAAGGTGCTAGACTCCCACATGGCTGACCACGGAGTCTTGGACCTGGTGGATTGCTTTCTCACTTTCCCCCTCCTCTCTGTCTCTCTCTGTCTAAAAGAATAATAATGATAACTTAAAAATAAGTAAATGATTCTTTTAAAAAAAAAACAGTAAATAATAAACCTAAAAAAATGAAATGGTATGTGTGTGGCCACATAAGAGATCAGAAGCAAATAACGCTGGGACCAACAGTTAGCGTAATGGCTATGTCGCTGGACTCCCACAGTCGACCACGGTTCACGTCCCGGACCCAGTGGCTTAAAACTCAACGCTGGGCATGTGTGCATGCATGCCCAAGATCCCGAGAGGAGAATGGAGGAGAAGGGATTGCGGCGTGGCCTTCTCCCCTGGGGGGGATGATTTCTTGCTTTCTGTCTCTCTGTCTGGCGAGCGCACGCGCCCTATAGCAAAAAAACCTCTTCAAAAAAAAAAAAACCAATAATGCTAAATGTTAACAGTGCTCATTTCTGGGTGGAGTTAAGGTTGTGTTTTATTTCAAATGAAGTTAAGGTTGTGTTTTATTTCATTCTTATGACATCCTGTATTTCTTGTAGTGTTTGTGTGTTATTTTTACAAAATCGTATCTCCCATGAAGAAAATGCTGTAATTTTTTTTAAGTCTGTATTGTGCTCAGATGGTCAGGTGGCAGAGGTCGGTTTGGAGGGTCAGGTCATAGGAGTCCCACTATAGGGCGTGAGGACTTGGATGATGATGGTGCAGAAGGGTTAAGTCCAAAGAGGTGTTCTGCTCCGGGTTCGTGTGCGTGCGTACCCAAGAGGAGAATGGAGGAGAAGATTGCGGCATGGCCATCCCCCATGGGGGGTGATTTCTCTCTTTCTGTCTCTCTGTCTCTCTTTCTGGCGAGCGCATGCACCCTATAGCAAAACACCCCTGCCCCCCCCCCAAAAAAAAAAAAAAGAACCAAAGAGGTGTTCTAAATAGGGAAGCAACAGCATTTGGTGAAAGCATACACCTTTCTCAAGCCTGGCTCCCAGGGGAATTTGTCAGGGAGTTTGTGGTGGTGCTGACCTTTCACTTGGGTCTCTCTCTACCAGGCAGCTTGCCGCCTCTTATCGTGTATGACCGGAATGGATTCAGGATTCTACTCCACTTCTCCCAGACTGGGGCCCCTGGCCACCCAGAGGTGCAGGTGTTGCTGTTGACCATGATGAGCACTGCCACCCAGCCTGTCTGGGACATCATGTTTCAAGTGGCTGTGCCAAAGGTAGGTCATCTGCTGGCTAGCTCTTTTGAATTTTTCAGTAGTAACTATCATTTTTGAGTACCAGGTCCATCCATTAGGTATATGGAATAGAGTCATAACTCAAACTAGTTTAATGCAAATTAGCAATTTTATTGATTCCCCGACTTCAGATATGAGAAGTAGATCCAGGCGGGGTCTTCTTTTTTTTGGGGGGGGGCAGTTTGGGTGGCAGATTTTTGCTATAGGGCATGCACACTTGCCAGAGAGAGAGAGACAGGAGACAGAAAGCAAGAAATTACTCCTTGGGGGGATGGCCACACTGCAGTCTCTTTTCCTCCATTCTCTCGGGATCGTGGACATGCACCCAGCATCAGTTTTAAGCTGCTGGGTCTAGGACTCAAACCATGGTTGACTCTGTGGGAGCCCAGCAACATAACCATTACGCCATCTGCTGGTCCCCTGGTAAGGTCTTAACAGATTCCTCAAGAATCTGTCTTAGGTCACCTAGGTGGCATAGTGGTTAAGGTAGCTGAATCTCATGTGACTAACTGCATGATTTGAATCCCTGACCTGGAGGTGACAAATACACTGGGTGCATGTGCCCAAAATCCTGAAAGGAGGGAGAAGAGGAGAAGGGATTGTAGGGAAGTCGCTTTTCACTTTTCTCCCTCTCCAGCAAATATTTTCTCTATAGTAAATTTAAAAGAAAAAAAAAATGTGTATGTCTTTTGGTCTCTTAACTCTGCTTTTCTCTTTGGGGCTCTTCTGAAAGTTTCTTCACAAGGCAGGAAAGTGGCTGCCAGCAGCTCCATGGTTACTTAAGTCCTTAACCCTTTATCTCAGTGGGGGAGGGGAAACTCATCTGGCATGAGGCACACAGATTACCCAGAAAAGGGCTCATATTGGCCTTGTTGATGTTACTTGCTCATCTTGTGTCCAGGGATATTAGCTGCCTAACCAATTTGGAATACTTAGTTCACCCCATTTTAAGAAGTAGGGCCCTACTGATTAACCACATTCACAGGGGAAAAGAATGTCCCTACAGAGAAAAAATAAAGACACGCATTCTTTAATCCTCATGGTAGTCTTGGGTGTGTGTATTGTTACTTGTAGTGTATAAATGATTAACTCAAAGCTCACAAGTTAAATATGTTGCTCAACATCACAGCTGGTGAGAGACAGAGTTAGAATTCAGCCATGATGTGTCTAGCTCTCTCAGATGCCAATCAGTGACCACACAACCTTCAGATATATTCTGTGTGTGGAAGGAAAGGCCTTTTGGATCCTTTCTTTAGTTAGTAGGACCCATGTGCTTGGGCTTCTGTAGGTGTCATGGGATACCATGTTTTATGGGAAACCTGTTCTCACTTGGGTGAGGGGTGGAGGACAAGCTCCTGTCACCCAGTCTTGTTCATTGAAGCCAGTTTGTTAGGAATGAGTTACATGTTGTTTTGTTTCCCTTGGTAGTCGATGAGAGTGAAGCTGCAGCCAGCATCCAGCTCTAAGCTTCCCGCATTCAGTCCTTTGATGCCTCCAGCTGTGATATCTCAGATGCTGCTGCTTGACAATCCACACAAAGTACGTTCCGGCTTCATTGGTAGCAGGGAAATGGGGACCTCTGCACCATAGGGAGGGAACCTCGTGGGTGAAGAGAGGCATATTGAGGTGTTGCACTAAGATTTCTGACTTGGTGGAGGGAGGATGTGGGAGCTGGGGTGGAATACCCCTTGCTAGAATCTGATTTCTTTTGGGCTTATTGAAAGACAATCTGATGGCTGATCATAGCGGAGAACCAGCTGAATGAGGGACATACGTACTCTCTCCCTTATGGCATAGAGCCCTCTGAAAGGGTGAAGCCTCTCTTCCTTAGTTGGCCTCTGACTTACAGTCCATCTCAGGACCACTGAAGTGTGGAAGGGCTCCCAGGATGTGTGCCTGGTTCCCTTTGTGTGTGTAGTCCCCAAGAGACTAGACCAGCATGTTCATATCATACAGTTCAAAGCCCTCACTTGGGACCTACTGCTTTTTAGTGACTACAGAGGGGGAGGAGGAGAAGGTGGGGTGTGAAGGCTATTACTGTGGTCTGGCTTCTGTGTTGCTCCCCACTAACGTAACATCTTATGTCTCTTATGTCCCAGGAACCTATCCGGTTACGCTATAAGCTGACGTTCAACCAGGGGGGACAGCCTTTCAGTGAAGTAGGAGAAGTGAAAGACTTCCCAGACCTGGCCGTCTTGGGTACAGTGTAACTTCTCCCAGGATGGACACTTCAGTTCCAGCTTAGGCCAATGTTACTTTATGCTGTCTAGACAGGACTAGTCACATGGTTTAGTGCACAGTGCCAAGGGTTTTATCCCTACATCAGGCTCTGGAACCAGCCTCTGACTTATTCTGCAGCTACTTGTGAGTGTGCTTGTATGTTGGCTTGGGGGAGGGTAAAGCAAGGCCTGGGTGTGGGCAGTGTGGAGACGCCAGAGCATTTCTGATGACCATCTCTGCTATAATCGTATGTTTCTATATGTTGGTGGATACCAGTGTCCCTGCCTCAGGTAGGGGGTTTTATAAGCCAAAGTTGTTTTGTTTTGTTTTGTTTTCATGTATTGTTACCTTTTCATCCATCCACTCTGTGCCTTGTCAGCCTTTGAAAGTCTCAGTTGCTCCCAGGCTGCTGTTCTCAGGGACCTTAAAAGGGACCTGGTTGGTCTTGGGGCAGAGAGTATCTTCTGGGGTACTCTCTTCCAAGAAAGACCTTGTCTCCATTTTCATTAGAGAATGCTGCTTGAATGTGTTCAGGAAATCTTCTAAATGGAATGCTTCTTGTACTGTTTCCAGGCAAGGGGCTGCTATGAGACCAGAGGACCACGCTTAGTGGGCCAGTCATGTCCTTCACCACTGTGCCTTAGAACCGCCCTTAGATGGCCCCTCAGGGGCAGAGGGTAAAACAGGTCTCAGGCCTTCTTTGGGCCTCACTTTCCATGGGTTGGGCAGCCTGTCTGGGCCCTTACTCAGGACCCTCATCTCCATCCTCATTCTCTTTCTCCACAGCATTTGCTCAGAGCTCTTTGAGCGTGACCCATGTTATTATCAGCTAGAGCTAACAGGCCCGCCTTTTCCTGTTGACTTGACAATCCCAGGTGGAGACCTGTGATGTACGTAGGTCTGGAAAGAGCATAGTGGTCCTTCATGTGCTGACTAAATGTAGAAGGTCATTGAATAAATACCATGCACAAACATACTTTATGGAGTGTTGAGTAAGTAGGAGATGCAAAGCCAATTGCATTTAGCGGTGTTAGGCCTAAAGGGAGCTGTCTTCTACTGAAAAGTAAAAAACTTGAAGGATGCAACTGTTTCCATGAGGAAGAGATACTCTGGCTATCTGAGGACAGCTGGAGAGGAGAGGTAGATATTTGTTACTTTTATAATCTGAAGAGAAAAATTGAGGCTTATATCCAATCAGTACTTTGTGAGGACCTGCTTGTGGTAGGAACCCTGTACAATTAGCAAGTCCTGCTTGGCCTGATCGGTGGGAGATGGAACGTGAGCCTGGCTGAATTGCCTCATGAAGGCTTTGAAGTCCATGCCGCCAGCCTCTGGGCGGGAGACTACCTCGGGAACTGCAAGCCTCTATTTTGAGCCCTTAATCACAAGCTCTGATATTTTTACAGTCTCATCTTTGATTTCAACCTATAGTTGGAAATCTAAACACTAACTGGTGGGATGAGAACCGTAAAAGATCAAGGTCTACTAAATTTCAAACAAATGTGAGAACTCATAAAACAAATGATGGGAAGATTTCTTCACGTGGTATAATTCACGTAAGGCTGAATTTCATCTAAAATGACCTCATGCTCAAGTGTTCTACATAGCTTTTTAGGCCCTACAGCTGTCACATAGTCTTCAGTGACCATGCCTACCTGTGAAGAGCTCTCATTGAAATGGGTGAACGAGACTTTCACATGACATGGCAGGGCCACCCTTATGACATGGTGGTTAAGGCGACTGGATATTCTAGTCAGGACCTGGTGGCTTGGAAAACACTGTGTGTGCGTGCCCAGGATCCCAAAGGGAGGGAGAAATGGAGAAGGGATTGTGGCATGACCATCCTTTATATGGGTGCTCTCTCACTTTTGCTCTCATTCTATCTGACCTCATGCTCAAGTGTTCTACATAGCTTTTTAGGCCCTACAGCTGTCACATAGTCTTCAGTGACCATGCCTACCTGTGAAGAGCTCTCATTGAAATGGGTGAACGAGACTTACACATGACATGGCAGGGCCACCCTTATGACATGGTGGTTAAGGTGACTGGATATTCTAGTCAGGACCTGGTGGCTTGGAAAACACACTGTGTGTGCGTGCCCAGGATCCCAAAGGGAGGGAGAAATGGAGAAGGGATTGTGGCATGACCATCCCTTATATGGGTGCTCTCTCACTTTTGCTCTCATTCTATCCATCAAGTGCATATGCCCTATAACAAATTTAGAAGAGCTCTTGTCAAAGGTTTTCAAAGGTGGACTCGTGTGTGAACCTGCATGTTCTTCTGTGTTCTGAGATACTCCACTGGTCCTCTCCTTAGGTGGAGTTGGATAGGAGATGGATAGCAGAAAGGCAGGTGTCTGAAAGTGGCCCTGGTGATGTCATCAGTGCCTTTTAATTGCCGAATTTAGTGACCTGAGCCCAGCCCTTTTCCTTTCATTCTCTGAGTGAGTACTTGTTGACCAGCTACCGAGCCAAGCACTGCTGTAGGCACTGCAGATGCGGCAGTGACAACAGGCCCTGCCCTGTGGGTCTGCTCTTCCTCTGGGGAGAGTTTGTCATGGGTCCGCTAAAAATTCATCACTGATGGCTGGTGTTTCTCCCTAGTCTGAACTCTCCTGTTCACTCTTACCTCTGACCATTCCTCTCTGGAGAGAAGTCTTCAAATACGGTTTCTCGCCAGGGTCTAATCCTTAGACCGTTTCTATATCTACACAGACCTGGCAGTCAAGTCCTCAAACCTCTCGATGGATCTTGGACCTCTTATCTCGAGCTTTCACCCCTTGCTGACATCAGATAGATTTCAGACAAAGGCTCCAAACTGCTCCAAACTCCACTATTGCTTCAAACTGCTAAATGCTTGGAGCCCATCTTTCTGTCCCCTTCCCCCTACTTCCTCTTTTTCGTGAAAGCACCCAAGACTAGCAGATCCTTAGTACCTGCTTGCTTCACGTGCATCACCCAGTAGTTTTGTGTCATGTCTGTCTGCTGAATGCTTCATGTCGCCCCCCCCTGCATTCACGTTGCTACTGCCCTCATTTGAGCATTATCTTTTGTTTTTGACAGGGCCGTAGCCTGCCTCCCAAGTATGAAGAATCTTCATACTTGCCACCACCAGAATTCTCTAGCAAACTTGAGTACTTGATCTGCTGAAAAGTTTCACAGTGGCTTCCTAATACCAAAATGTCATGGGGTCACATTGAAATAGCTTTTGCTGGCATTCCTGTAGCGCCCTTCTGTAACTTTGCTCCTGCCCTTTCTGGTCCGCTGAGAAGAGAGCACCCTACCACAGCCACAGTAAGAGCCTTTCAAGTCTGATAGTGCCGTATTTATCCTTTCAGCTCCCTATGCAGCTAACTGCACTCCCCATGTCTCTTCAGACTGGTCTAAAATACTACCGTAGAGCCACTCTGAACAGAAATGGGTAATGAAGATCGTAAATGAAAACAGGATAAGTGACAACCAAAACAAAGTCTAGGAGATGATATGAATGAAGATAGTAAACCTTAAAAATAGAAAGCAAAGGCAGCATGCTAGAATAAAAATAGTGCTTGAGTACTGTGGCATTAGTCCCAAGTGTTTTTCATATATCTAAGACCAAAGGATGCTTATGCAGCCACAAGAGTGTAAAATTCTCTCAGGAGCATTGTGGGTGTATTTTTGTTTGTTTTTAATCTAAGAAGGTCGGGCTGACCCCCTGGTTGCAGCAGTTTGACGCAGTACACGGCCAGATCCCACATGGCCAACTGCAGTTTGAATCTTGTCCTCAGCAGCTTGGAAAACATGCAGGTGTGTGTGTGTGTGTGTGTGTGTGTGTGTGTGTGTGTGTGTGTATGCACCCAAATTCCTGATAGGATAAAGAAATGGAGAGGGGATTGTAACATGATCGTGCCCCATTGGAGGGTTTCAGCTTGCTCTCTGGCGAGAGCACACACCTCCTAGCAAAGAGAGAAAAGGCAGTAGGAGTCCTGAAATGCTTGCTATGGTTTTATTTTTTAACAAGTGCAGCCTGATGTGTTTCACCTGTAAGGATGTAGAGCCTGGTAGGACAAGTAGGCGGTGTCCTCAGATAATGTAAGCTAAGCCTTTTGTACAGTTGAGGCACCTAAGGTCCAGATTGGTTATCACATACTTAAACTGGAATGAAAGAAATTGGGGCTCTTATTCCTCTTGTCTAATACATTGCAAATTATACCATGCTTGTTCTGAGTAAGCTTGCATTTGAAAGGTGTATTCTCCTTTGACTTATTCTTGAGGAAAATATATACTTCGTCCCATTTCTGGAAGTAACATTTTTTTCAGAGATTTTTTGCTATAGGGTACATGCTCTCACTGGAAAGACAGAAAGCAAGAAATCACCCCATGGGGGGATGCCTGTGCCGCAATTTCTTCTCCTCCATTCTCCTCTCAGTATCTTGGGCATGCCCCCTTTGCATGAGTTTCAAGCCGTCAGGTCCAGGACTCGAACTAAAGTCAACTACATGGGAATCCAGTGATATAACCATTACACCATCTGCTGGTCCTGATAATATTCTAGTTTTAAAAGTTTAAATAATGCAGAGTCACAAGCCCCAGATACACAGGCTTTTTACAGTTCTAAGTCTGAAGGCCCAACAATTTGAAATTATTAGATCAACCCATATGACTTGGGACAAGTAATTCTCTCTAGATTCATCCATTATGTGGATAATAAAAGCATCTACCTCATAGGATTACTTTGGGAATTAAATGAGCACAAAACATGAAGTAACTACAGAACCACATGAATAATCAGTCTTAGCTATTTGCTGTTAGTCTGTCCACCTAGTTTCTAGTCCATAAGACTAACTGAATTTTATCTCACAAAACAAAGTGTGTATAATTTTGGTTAGACTCAAGCTGGTACTAAGTAAATGTCGAGGATAGGATGATAAGTAGTAATTGGAAACCACTGTTAAAATTTTGCTACAAGGTGTGTGTGTTTGCTAGAGAGATGATGGGGGTGCAGGTAAAAGTGAGTAAGAAATCACCCACTGGGAGGAAGACCATGCCACAAGCCTTTTCCACTCCTCGGGATTTTGTACACACACCTGGCGTGTTTTTAAGTTGTCAGGTCTATGACTGTAACTGCTCAGTTGGCCACGTGGGATCCGGTGCCCTTACCACCCCACCACCTGCTTGACCCCATATAAACCACTCTAAAAGCTAGCCACTAACGAATTCTAGCCACTTCGAAATTACACTTCTAGCTCTAGTCAAAAGCATACATCAATGACATAACATTTAGAGACTAGGTATGAGCATACTTCCTTTGAAAACACTTATTCAGTTAGTAATTTTTACTTTTTTTTTTTTTTTGGAGAGGTTTTCGCTATAGGGCGCGTGCGCTCGCCAGACAGACAGAGTGAGACATAGAGACAGAAAGCGAGAAATCACCCCCCAGGGGGGATGGTCACGCCGCAATTCCTTCTCTTCCATTCTCCTTTCGGGATCTTAGGCACGTGCGCACATGCGCCTGGCGTGAGTTTTAAGCCACTGGGTCTGGGACACGAACCGCGGTCGACTACGTGGGAGTCCAGCGACATAGCCATTATGCTAACTGCTGGTTCCCCAGTTAGTAATTTTGTAAACAAGGTATGCATTCTAAAATTTGTAACCCTGGTGCCAAAATTGAACACAGTTCAAAGAATTTGGTTTTTGGGGGCAGCAGGTGGTGTGGTGGTTAAGGGCACTGGACTCCCACATGGCCGACTATAGTTTGAGTCCCGGACCTGGCAGCTTGCTTTCTCATTTTCCCTATCTCTGTCTGTCCCTCTCTCACTCTGTCTCTCTCTGGTCAAATTAAAATAAATAACGTTAAATAAAATAATTCTTAAAAAAAAAATTTGTTTAATTGTAGGCAAAATAGCAAAAAGTCTTAGCTCAAATATTGGCTATAAAGCTCGTGACATATTGAAAGAATACACTGCAAAATCATTTTCTGGAAGTGCAGTTAGCCACAT